ACTGACAGGGGGACTTATTCCTTTGATAAAAAATTATTAAAAAAGATAAAATCACATACATACGACATTAATATTATAATCATTATTATAAGGCAATATAAATATAAATTTAAAAAAAAAGAAAACCTATGGAAAACCACCCATAACCTGCACCTGTTAAACTCCTTCCTTACTACATAATTTAGTTCACGGTTAACTTTGGGCCTTAAAGAAGAAAACTGATATGGATCTGCCCAAGAGGAACTAAAAGCAAAGATAAAAGACAAGACTGGGCCTGGCCTACTAGAAGCAAGTATATTACTCCCTCCCACAACAAATTAAGAAAGTAATGGCATATGTTAGATACCCACACTAAGTCCAAGATACATATGACGCATCTCACATTAACGGGCAGTATCCTCATTTATAGGTCATGTGCAGTTATGGCAAATTGACCCCACCTTCTATTCAGTTAGTTTCATACTAATTTTATTCTTGTAACATCAATAATAAAACATAGTTATGAGCTAGACAAAGGGTAGCACTCAAAACTGAACCCAAGATCCTGGTGACAAATGTCCTTTTCCAAAGATCTGATTAAACTGATGAGAACAGTAACTTCTAGAGGACAAATTCATTTTCATCCACTTAATGACAAGTTCATTCTCCAAGTCCCACTCTCCAAACCTACTCTATGAGAAAGTTTTGTTCTCTTCCTAAATTCCAAATTATGTCAGCAATTAGTAGAAGGTCAATACGAATTTCAGAAATGTGCACATTTTTAGAATTGCTGCTTTTTGGTATAGATGCTAGGATTTTTTTAAGAACACTAAGGAGAAAACATCTTCTGAGTAAAAATAGGTAATTATATCAGTCATAGAAATACACACTACTAAAACCCCCAATGATAAAAAAAAAAAGCATATTTGTTAAAATATTTAAAGCATTTATTTTTAAAAAATTCTTCCTTTTCTAAATTCAAATGTGGCTGAACACAAATCCTACACAATTAGAAGTAGGGGGTGGGTGCCCAGCCCGGTGAAACAGTGGTTAAGTTCACCGGCTCTGCTTGGGTGGCCTGGGGTTCGTGGTTCAGATCCCAGGCGCCCACCTACACACGGCTCACCAAGCCACACTGTGGCAGCATCCCACATACAAAATAGAGGAAGACTGGCAGAGATGTTAGCTCAGGGACAATCTTCCTCAAGCAAAAAGAGGAAGACTGGCAACACTGGCAACGATGTTAGCTCAGGGCCAATCTTTCTCACCAAAGAATTTTTTAAAATAAAAAAAAAAGAAGCTGGTGGGAAAAGCACAAGTGCCTAAAAGGTCCTAAAACTATCAAGCCCTATATTAAAGTCTATCCTTTAATACAATTTCAGAGGTATATAGGAAATTTCAGGTTGAGGACACAGTTTTATATCCATCCATTCAGTACACGAAAACAATGAGAAGAGGAGAAAAACAAAATTAAAGAGGAAAATGTAACAAGATTAGGTCTGCTGATTAGTTTAAGTCATCTTAACAACAGAAGTCAGATATGCCTCTTGAAGAATGTTTTATATAAATCCCAGGATTATCTGATATTTACTTAAATTACTCCATTCTGAACACTGCTCATCTCTGAGTGACAGCAGTGTAAAACACAGATGATCAACAAACATTATAGCATTTCACTAAAATCTGAGTCAATTCTGTATAACTTATTCTTAAAAATGAATTATATAGCACCATTCCAGTCCCAGGTTTCATAGAACAAGTATCCTTATACTTAAGTTACATTCTGTCTCCTCCAAAGTGTGGGAGACATACAAAAAAGGAGGTTGAGCTACTCCAAAAAGTTCATGTAATAGCTTGTAAAAAGTAAGAGAGGCATAACACACACACACACACACACACACACACGGACCAAAATATCTTAAAATGAGGGACCTTAAATATAGGTCCTGACTTTTCAACGATGTAAAATCAAAAACAAACCAGAAAGGAGTCCTCAAGAAAACTTACTCCTTTTCACAGACGTTCACACCCCTAAAACTTGCAAAGCTTTACCCCACACACCAAAATGCTAAACTGTTCCTTAGGCTTAGGGCCAAAAGTACCTGAAGATCCCTGAAAAATGAAGCTCGACCAATCTGACAAACAGAGACGTAGCTATTGGAAATAAAATGAGATGCAACCCCAAAATCTTGGGCCACAGTTTCCACGAGTAACATCTCCAGCATATTCTACCCCTGGCGCGCTGAGTGGCCTAAAGGAAGTTACTTAGCCTTTCTGAGCCTCGATTTCCTCTCCAGGAAAACACGGATAGCAACGAAGGAAGCTCGAGGAGCTATTGTGAAGATGAGAAAGCCATAAAAAAGCACATTAAGGAGCTCGCAAGCACGAAGTGCTCACTCACTGTGAGCGACTGTTCTTCTGTCCCTGTTGATTAACTTCAGATCTTGGCTCTGAACAGCGCCCAAAGTGCGCAGCAATTCGAGTTTCGGGAAGGCTGTGTTTGGAGCTGCGTCGGGGGAGGGCTTGGGGACAAGACAACAAATCAAGTCCCTGTGAGTCGAGGCCGGCAGGATCCGCATCCAGGGCCACAGGCAGAGAGGACCGTGAGGCTGATTTTAACCCAGGAAAAGAACAAAGTCCCCCTTGGAGACAAAAGCAGCGCCTGAGGCCGGGCTGGGGAGCAGTGACTTCCCGGAACCCTCCGCGAGGACGGCGCCCTCGCGACCCGCTTCACCTGCCTGCCTCCGGGGACACGCCTGCGCGGCCCCGGGCCCCGCTCCCCTGCCCCTTACCCGGCTCTCCATAGGGAATGGTCTCGGCCCAGGCGCTAGGCTCCTCATCCTGGATGTCCAGCACCCTGTCGATGGACTTCTGGGCCTGGGACAGGGCCTGCTTAGCGAAGCTGGAGAGCTGGGAGGCGTTGAACCAACTCATCTCCCCTTCTCAGCCGGCACTGGCGGCGGCAGCACCCAGCGGGAAGGCCGAGGGCCAGGCCGACCGGCCTCAGGCCCGGGGAAGGGTGTAGCGGAACGGCCTCGCTCCCTTCTCTACTCGCCTAGCCCTGTCAGTGGGAGGCCATGACCCCAACAGGCTTCCCCGGGTCCGGGAGGTTACCCTCAGCCCCTTCCGCACAGCTGAGACGAAGGGCCCAGACTGCGCATGCGCGAGCTTCTTCCACGTACACAACCACCGAATCCGGGAGCCCAGAGTTCCGTGGGTAGACGGAAGAACAGAAGAGGGACGTTGACGTCATATCCGGGAGCCCAGGGTTGCCATTAGTTACTCAAGAACGCGGAACGGTTTCTATTGACACTGATTCCAAGCTTAGCGCTGGCATTCTCAGCCACGGGAGAAACTATGGCTACCAGCCAAGGCTGACTCTTCCAGGAGAAATAAGCGACTTTTCATGTGGATCCCCTCCTAGAAAATAACTCACATACTAAGAGGTAGCACCTTGCCAGTAAAAAGTGCAAACAAAGGGGAGTTTGGGTCTCGCATCCTCTTACTGCTTTGTCTCAAATATTTAATCAGTTGTATTAACTTGGCCTAAAGGAGGAACCCTAGGTTTAGGTTTCTCTAAAACTACGGAACATTTTATAAAAGACCTGATTCAGCCCACCTGATGGAAGTAAAAAGCTGTCTTCCAAAATGAGTTACAAGTTAGAACAAGGGTACAGAAGGCGCAATCTCCCCCTCACAACACAGGTCCACTCTCGGCCCCAATCAAAACCAACCTGGGAAGCACTGTAACTATTAATCTATTAATGTGTATTGTGCATATTATTTAAAATACAACTTTTTCGGCATGCACTTTTCAAACATTTAGCTATACGTAGAAATCAAATTGGCCTTCCTAATCTAATCAATAGTTATGTTTGGTTTGGCTCCCATAATGTTAAAGATAAAATTCTACCAACATTTAAAAGGCTAATTTCATATAAAAATCCAGATTTTCAGCTGATTTTGAAAAATACGAATACGAACATGGCACAGTCAGCTGGAAGGGTTGCCCCTTTTGACAAGTAATTTTCACTCCAGTTTGCCACAGACCTCACTAATCATACTACCTCCTCTTATTACATCCTCCCTGCTGCAGTTATTTACTTTACCTGCCTGTCCCCTATATTTGAGTATTTTACTCCACTGCAAGTAACTTTGCCATAGAAGAATTATTTTTCTTTCAAAATCAGATTTAAACTCTGCCCTTGAGAAGTTATGATCTTCCAGGAATTTTATTTAACTTCAGTAAAAATTTGCATGTTGAAACTCTTACAATTTAGTAACCTACAGGTAGTACTAAATAACTTGGTAACTTCAAACAGCTTAGCAAAGTACTGAGGAGGAGGTTTGAGGCAGATTAGGGTTGGAATCCCTGTTCCAAGACTTCTAGTTGTACTCTTTTGAGTAAATTACCTTAACTTTCTAAAACTATTCACCTCTCAGATGGAGATACTCACAAGGCTACTCTACAGCACCTGTATAAAGCAGGTGCTAAATTTTAGTTCCTGCATGTTCAAAAATTTAAACTGAATTTGTAACTTTTTAAATAAAGCGTATAAATTTATCCCATATGATTTTATAATGAAACAAGTTATTTGTCAATATGGAGCTAGAAAGAATAACAATACATGAAAATTTAACCCAGTGACATGTAACCACAAAGCTTTTGAGTAGAAAACTGCCATTTAAGTCAAAAACAAAAAGTGAGAACATGTATTGCATTTTCCCATACTGAGACACTAAAACTCATTTTTCAGTACTTCTTAATTTTGTTTTAAGCCTTAGTTATTTAGGGAAGAAAACAAAAGGCACTGTAAGAGACCCTAGTATAAAAATATAGTTATTCCATTTCATTACATTATGTTGAACAAATTAAATTAAATCAGTATTTACTGTGTCAAAAGCATTAATTCAGGGTCCATAAAAATTTTGTATTAGTAATTCTGCTACACATTTAAAAACTATTCCTACATTACTACAGAACTTACTATCTTTAATATACTCGTAAAAATGTCAGTGAGAAAAGTAGACAATATATGATTTTATTAATAAATAGCACAAAAGCATCAGTGATAACTGTTTAAACATTAAATTTTTTTAAACATCTATGTCTTGGCTTTCATGTTGTGCATATTGGCCTCTATGGCACTGTAGTAAACACATGAAAATATTTCCCATTTCCATGCACAGGTATTCAGCTATAACACCATTTACAAATTATTATGGACAAGGTAATCTCTGCAATAATTAATACTCATTTGGACAGCCACAATTAAATGAATATTAAATCAAGCAAGAAATAGGCTATGTTCAATATGCTCTAGATGTCAGGTTGTAATATTTAATGTTATTTAAAACTTAATTTTCTTTAAAGGGACATCTTTTGTATATGTGGGTGTTCAAATGAAAACTGAGAAATGCATTCTTTGACCATAATAACAAAATTCACACACAAAAGGGTGTTTGCCACCTCCTCTAAAAGAAGCAATACATTTGCTTATCATCTCTCTCCAGGCATCCTTTCCCATATTATTAATGAAAATGCTTACAAGCACCAACCCCAAAATTCTGTCTTCAAGGGAAAGTTATAAAGTTAAAAAAGAGTGGCTCATTTATATAAAAAAAAGTCAAATTTCAGCAACACTAATGCTAAAAATGACATCAATTAAACCTCTTAGCATCCACAAAGTATAATATTTCCATGAGTTTTCTATTATGTGCATATTTATTTTAAGAAGTAAAATGAAGTTTGAACAGTACAGTCTGTGGTGTGGTGACATCAGCAACTGCCAGTTCTTGCCCATCAACGAGTCCCAATTCTAAAATAGAAAAAGTATAATTAACCCAAGCAAAAAAATCTCAACAAAAAGGGTAACAACACACACATATAGAAACTATAGAGTATTATGGCCTAGACAAATATCAAAATCCAGTTCTCTTTAGTCAAGGTAATATTATATGTGATTTCTTAGAGATATCTCAATATTCTACTAAAAGAGTAATTAATTCTATTATTGTTTCTAAGATATAAGTAACTATGGTGATATCATCATTCAAAGGCATTAAGAGTAAAGCCAGAATAAGTATTTATTACTATTACCAAAAAAAAGAAGAAGAAGAAGAAATTGATTAGTAAATATACTCATTTAAATACCTTTCAATGTCTTGGAGAGATTGGGCCTTGTTCGTTCTTCAATAGAGGTTACTGACTAGAAAACAAAATTATTTTAGTGTAAAGCATATTAAATGAAAATAAACTTTTAATATAATTTTGTGGGAAAAAAAATAAAAACCGAACACTGATCACCTGTAAGTAAAGTGTTCTATTTTTTCCCTCTAATGTGGCTGTGATGGCTGGAGATTTCATCTGCCTAAATATAATTATGATTAAAAAATATATCAAAGATTACTTCTTAAAAAAATAATTCCAGTTTTTAAAGTTTTAAAATCACAAAAATTATTTTTACAACATAACAAAAGTCCAAAACACTTACAGTGAAGCACTATTGGTTAGATAATCCAAAACTTCCTGCAGTTTAGCTGATGGAGAAAACTGAATATTTTGAGGAAGCTGGCTACAAGCTGGGCAGTTTTCCTACATATATAAAACACAAAAAAGCACAGTGGCACATGAACCAGTTATAGTCTCTTGATAACAATGAGGCAAAGATCAAGTTGTTTTATAAACATGCATACTTCCTATGAACAAATGTTTATGCTTTAAAGCCTGCTTTTCAGAATAGGCCATTTTTCCTAAATTATTTTGCTAGATAGTATTTATTTCAGGCTATATTACAAAAGATATATAGTTATAGGGTTCTAGAAGTTAGAAAATACTCAGGGTGTGAGCAATTTCATTCATATTTCTAACCACTAATTAATATTTAAAAATCAAAGTATGGGGGGTGGGGGGAGGGCACAAAGGGTGAAGGGGTGTACCTACAACATGACTAACAATAATGTACAACTGAAATTTCACAAGGTTGTAAACTATCATAACCTTAAAAAAAATCAAAGTATGCATGATCAAAAATTTTTTATTAGTATACTACTACTAACCTTTCTCTCTGCTTCAAATGTGTATGTGTACAGTCCATCTACATCATTGAATACCAAGTAATTATTAAGGGGAATATATGCACTGTAATGAAAAAATGTTCATTTTTATACAGTTGAGCCAGATCAAAACACAGATTTACATACATATTAAAAATGAAACCCATTACCTTGTGGCTATTTTAAAAACCTCAGTGGCACACACAGCTGAAGAGGGGAGAAAATAAAGGTGCTTTAACTCAATGAAAATTAGACATTTAAAATTAGAAGTTTCTTTAAAAAAGTCAGTTATAAATCAGAATGGATAAATTTACAAGGCTACTGATTAAAATATATATAAAAATATATATACACACATTTAAAAAACTGAGAGAGTAACAATTTTATATTTGTTTTGTTTAAGCCAAGTGAAAGAGCAACATTACATTTTTCTTCCTCTTCTTAATTAGCAGCCTGTTATACTGATTAAAAAGAAATGGTACTAAAGTGTCCCCTAACTCCAGAGCACTTTATTAATGACATAATGTAAGACAAAGTATATAAAGGTCCAATGATTTGGTCTTTTTTGGACAGCCTAATTACACCACCCACCCAAAAAAAGACTTCAAATTCCTACAACATCAGTTTTCTGAGCACAAGTAGCTACAGAAATGTCAATTTAGATACTGAATCAAAAACTAAAGAAAAGAAAAGGAAATCAAGCATTGGCCATTGTACCTCACCTGCAATGACTGCATTTGTGGAAGCTACTGCAGGAATGATTCGTTTCACTACCCCTGAAAAAATATATTGATTGAAATATGGTTATTTCTTTTAAAAAATAAGTATCTTAAATTAGCCAATGATTAAATAATTTTTCCATAACTTGATTTTTCAGGCTTTTAAGTCAGAAAACAGACCTAAGTTTAACCAAGAAAAAAATCTTTTCTCACATTCCCATCTTTCTGTGGCATGTTCAGAATCTTCAACAAGTTACAACAGCAAAGAAAAGTAAACTCTTCACTAAGCTTCGTATAAAGATGAGAGTAATACAATAATAATAGCTAACAGAGTGTTTATTGTGTTCCAGGCACAATGTGAAGATTAAATAAGATATTACTGAATTTTCCCAACATCCTTATGTTAGTCGTCTTAGTCTGATTTTAAAGATAAGGAAAACGAGGGTTAGAGAAATTCAATGACACCCACAGCTATACACCTAGTAAGTGATGGGGGCGGTACATAAACCCAGATCTGCCACAAAGTGCGTGTCTTAACTGATGCATACTATACTATACTCAATAAGGTTTGAGTAAAGTATGAAGAATAAGAGTCACCTAATTTTTCCTCATATAATAGTTTCAGCCATTCGATTCCCAAAATTTACAACAAACAGAAAAAGTGCCCCTCATCAACTTTGTTTCACTCTATATTTGGACTACACAAAATATTAAACATAGTTGTCTATTTCTACTCCACTTTTTTCATAAATAATCCATTTTATAACTATATTTAAATTATTAGTTTTAGAAAACAAAAACTTCAGAGAAAAGTAGCATATTATCTTGGAGTGTGAGGGAGCACTGAAAGAAGTGCTTCCAAGACTTTAGGTGTAGACAGGTCAAAGACTTCAGAAAAAGGCAAACATCTAAGAAGACATGTAAGGAAGACAGTTAATAAGTTTGGAAAGGCTGTTTTAAAAAGTTAATTCCAACCATATGATTACGTGTAATTTCAGAGAAGGGGAAATAGGGAGAAGCCAACCTCCTGATGGTTAAACTGGAAGCTCTCCAGTGAACCAGGCATAGCAGAATGTACTGAAAGGAGGAACAGGTAGTCACAGTGAGGAGGGTAAGAGACGCTACCGATAAGAGCACTGCCAAAGTGATAAAGACCTCCCCACCCCCTCCCCGCCTCAAGAAAGCTGGACTTCACTTCCAATTCTGCTCCTCTACTCCTTGTCAAGCCCCTCAATCATCAGACTGAAAAGTACATACCAAGCCCTGCTAAAAGGTATGGAAGGATGAACGAAACTACATATTAAGAACGAATTTACAGTTCCTGATCAGGACAAACTGAATTCATTTGTTAATCCAAATAATTACCAAATGTGCACTATACGCCAAAGAATGTTCTGGGTCTGAAGAATAGCAGGGGAAAAAAATCTGCTCTTACAGAGCTTTCATTCCAGTGGTGGAGATAACACTCAAGTAAATAGATAGGAAAATTTCAGATACTGAAGAAAGTAAAACAGGATATGTGTTAGAGTTGACAGTGGTGGAGATAGTACATAAGACTGGATGGTTAAGGAAGACCTCCCCTGGGAGGTGATAATTTAAGCTGAAATCTAAACTATGAGAAAGACCCAGCCATGCAATGACCCGGGGAAAGAGCATTTCTGAAGAGTAGACACCAAAGGCAAAGGCCCCAGAGCAAGGATGTATGAGAGTGTAAGCATGAAATATTCTTTGCATTAAAAAAATGAGGCTACTATTAGTTCTGAGCAATTATAAAAAGGTAAAATAGTGAATGACTCAGAAGCATTTTCAGTTGAATGATCAGGAAAACAGATTGATTCTGAGAGATAAGCAGCCAGCCTCGAGAGGACCCAAGGAAGAGCATTCCAGGCATAAGGATCAGCAGTATTAGAGCTCAAAGTGGCAATGAGTTTGGTGTGTTCCAGGAGCACAAAGCAGGTCAGGACAGGGGGAGAGCAGGGAGCAACAAGGAGGGTGTAAGAATGGAATTTTCAAAAGACTTTACTAGAACATCAGTAAATATAAGGAAATAATCACAGAAGAGAAATGGCAGGTTTTCAAAAAGAACACAAAGCTCTTTCTGGTGAACCTGGTGATGATCTTGGGCAAAATTCTAGAAAGGATGAACTGTGAGTACCTAGATTAGGAAGCTTTGATCACTAAGATTGAACATTACGATTGTTTACTGAGATAAGCCATGCTGGACTAGCCTCATTTAGTTACGATGACTAGCTTAGCAATCCAGGGAAATGTGGGAGATAGTGCATCCAGGCTTCACTAGAGCAGCTGGAAAGGTCTTTCCTGATATTCTTGTGAACAAGACAAAGAAATATGAAGTACTCAAGAAGGTCTGATCAACAGAATGAGATAAACCTAAAAGGACCTGACCAGAACTGTATTCAGATGTCTGTTCTCAGCCAGTTCAGTCTTGCTAAAATTTTTAATTAATTATTTGGAAATGAGATAAAGGATATGATTATCAAAACAACAGGTGAAACAAAGCTAGGGAGAACAGATAAGTTGGCAGGCATAAAAGAATACATATACATAAAGGGAGAACAGCAGGTTGAATTTAAGAATAAATGTGTTAGGATCTATACAGTCACATGCCACATGAGGACGTTTCAGTCCATGATGGAACATAGATATACAACAGTGGTCCCATAAGATTAGTACTACGTAGCCTAGGAGTGGAGTAGTACACATCATCTAGGTTTGCATAAGTATACTTTATATTTGAACAATGATGAAATCGCCTAATGATGTGTTTCTCAGAATGTATCCCCATCATTACGTGATACGTCTGTACTTGGGTATTAAAAAAACAAACTATAACTCCAAAAAATTGCCAAATCTATAATAGGGAGATGTGGCTCAGCAATTGCATATGTGGAGAAAACTTCCAGATTTCAATGGACAGTAATCTCCAAGAATCAAAGGTATAGCATCAACGTAAACAACAAGCAAACAAACAACAAAAAACCCTGCTCTCCTCTAAGTCTGCATCAATTATCAGAAGTCTATTACCTAAAATAAGACCAATCCTAGAATGCTACATTCTACCCTAGGTAGTTAAGTGAAACATGAATAACTGGAATACAATCAGAGAAAACCAACATGATAACTTAAAGTCATGCAACATGTCAAGGGTTAAAGAAACGAGGAAGGCTGAAGGTAGTGATAGAGATTTGGAGGGAATGCGATCACTCTTCTCAATAGGTTAAGGGCTATTACTCAAAAGGGAATTAGATTTATATATGGCGTACCCTGGGACAATACTCAGACCAAACTAAAGATGGGGACTGCTGCTCAATATATAGAATAATTGTCTTAACGCTTTTGTCCAAATGTGAAATATATTGTCTCAGGAAGTGATAAACTCCTCTTCAGTGAACAATAAAGTGAATGGTTCTATTTGGATGACTCAGGGCCTCTTACAATCCTAAGTAAATAAGATTCAATGATTTTATTAAATTCCTCCTGGCCAAGAAGTAGTATGGATTCTATTGAACTCAGCTCCCTCCTACCAAATTTGGGGTACCTGGAAACTATTATTTCCATGGTACCTTTACTGAACCTCAAATGGATGGTACTAGCTGAAATTACTTGTCAATTATTTCTTCCAAAGCATCCTCAACCCTTAATAAACACATCATCCTAAGATCATAATTCATGACAATTCACTAACTTACCTTGAGTGAGTCTATACGTAACACCCCTAATATTATATTGTGATGCTCTCTCTAGGGATTTTTGGAAAATCCACTGAATATGATCAGGATCATCTCCATCTAATGGAACCCCTTCTGTTAAGGAAAAAAAAAGAGAGGAGGACAGAAATATGTAAACATAAATCAACTTGCTTTTAATGTAACTGTCCAAATAAATAATATAGACAAATATATATCTTATGGAATTCTGAATTATGAAATTAGGTTTGTTACCTCCAAAAGGCTGCTCCTTAGGCCACTGCAATATCCTTACATACTCAATACAGTGTTCTGGTAGCCTGGGCATAGATGCAATGGTGCACATGGGAAAATTAACCTAAAACCATAGTATGCTTTTTTTAGTGGATTTTAAATAATGAATTATTTTTAAATGTAACTTGTAGTTAAGATCTAATTTGTAAGTTTCTAAAAGTTCATCTCAGCCTTCTGCTTATAGAAAGAAAACATTTTATACTATTAATAATGCTTCTAAAAGTAACAGAGAGCACCTGAGTCACTTCACTTAGGTTGATCTGCCTATACAAATAGGTTTGCTGTACATCTACAAGGTATGTAAATGTAAGCTTTGTGAGACAATGAGAAAAGTGCTGAATAAATTCTCAAACATGAGCACTGTTATGTTTACCTGACATTTAATCTGAAGGGATAAAATAAAACAAAACAAAAGCAAATTCAGAGTTGAACTGCAAGTAAATACTCATAAAATTATTTACATTTATAAATCAAAATCCCAACTGCCTTTTTTAAAGTGAGTATATAGACTAAAGACCCCCATTTTTGAAAAGTTCATTCTCACTCCTGGTATCTTTATTTCCCTAAAACAACCGCAGGCACAAACCAAAGAAAATAGATTATAGCTCTATCCCAACATATAGCTTTGCAATCGATCCCTTAACCCCTACTCTCCAAATAAAAAATACAAATGAATTATGAAAACAGAGTAGGATCAAAACTATGATATTCAGTCTGCACCTTTCCTCAAATAGAGAATTTCATATTTTATCATCTTCCTTCTTAGCAAGATTTCTAAAATATGGTTACCCCTAATTAAAAATCCTAAATATTGACTAGACTTAATAATTCAACTCTAATTCCACCCTACGATACTATCAGACAATGCAGTTGCTTTTTGGATTACCTGTGGTGGATACAGTTCCAGTGTGCATTCAATACAAGCAGTCATTCCCGGCAAAATCACTCGGGCATTTCCTTTAAAACCTTCTGTCCCCCCATCTATCAAAGGGACAATGGAGCTTGGATCTAATGCACCATCTTCATAATTTAGAAGAGATATCTAGGAAAAGTATTTGAAGGATTTAACAGAAGACGGGGATAAAAATTCACAAAAAGAAGCATGCTGCCAAGTAATTAATCCAATCAATCACATTACTGAGTACTAATATATCAAATCAAGAGATCATGATATTAGCAATTTATGTCCTCACCTGAAAATTGATGACTGGCAATAAACAAGAAGTACATCTACTTAATTTAAAATTAAATAAACTCTTACTTTTTTCAAAATTCTAATTTTTCAATTCTAAATTTCAATTTTTCAATTCTAATTTCAGTATGTTAAGAGCAACAGTAAGAACTTCAGAGAACCATAACAACACTAAAGTCTTTACCAGCATGCCATTTATCCATCTTCTGGCTATGATAGAATCCAGTCCACACACAATTATATGAAATTCTACAAGAAAAAAAAAAATCCAAGTTTAGTTTTTAAAAATGCCGTTGCACAAAATAATTCACTTTCTAAGACACAACAAAAAAATCCCACTTTTTATTATAATACAAACACACAAAGCTACTAATCCTTGAGTAATTCTTACTCAAGACAGCATATAAAAATGCAGCTAACAGTATCAACAAAGAATTAAAACAGTGGCATTCTCCTTCCAATCAGTCAACAACCTTACTGAACAGCCAACACCAAGAGATGAAAGCAGATGAATAGCCTTCACATAGCTAGCAATCTTCAGATAGCTAGCAAATAAAAACAGCAAAAATTTAGTGAGAAGTTAATTTCAGGTATAACTTACGTCGATAGAAAGTATCATTAAAATCCTGAATCTTGTTGAAATGTCTGAATATAAGTAAAGGAACTTAAGCTGCTAAGTTTTGTAAAGTTAATTTAACAATACCATAAAGGAACAAATTATAAATGTATATTTAACACAAGAAATACATCATCAATGTTCAAAGCAGTGGAATTCAAGGAATCTGACAAAGTGAACATAATCCTACTTCCTGACAAAACCTCTTGTCTAAACACTCCTCCCCTAAATACTTCGTTTCTCTCATCCCTGAACTCTTGTTATATTTATGTCTCTCTTATACTCTTCCTCTCCTCCAGTTTTTACACAAAACCATAAGCCCTGAGAAAGCAGAATGTGTGTCCTCAGTCAGCAGCACCAATCAGGGAGACAATAAACATTTGTTTACTCAAGGGAACAAGCACATTAGAGTTCCCATTTAGCTGGGTGATTTTAAGAGTTACTGTACGAATTAAGACAGTTGTGTCCCTTAAATTTATATAACGTTATATGTCAAATATATTCCATTAAAAAAACAGGTATGTCCAATAGCTTCAGCAGGTGCTAATAAGTATTTTTGGCTGGGGGGATGAGTCCTTTCTTCCTCTCTCATTTAAGTCAGTTTTCCAAGTCTCTCTTTTTACCCAACCAAACCCTATCAACAGTCTTCCCCTGCCTGGACGCTGCAAAGGGAACCCCCTTCATAACTGGTTGTGGGTGTGCAATCATAACACTTAACCTTTTTTTTTTTTTTTTTTTTTGAGGAAGATTAGCCCTGAGCTAACATCTGCCGCCAATCCTTCTCTTTTTGCTGAGGAAGACTGGACCTGAGCTAACATCCATGCCCATCTTCCTCTACTTTTTTATACGTAGGACGCTTGCCACAGCATGGCTTGACAAGTGGTGCGTAGGTCCACATCCAGGATCCGAAACGGTGAACCCCAGGCCGCCAAAGCAGAACGTGCGAACTTAACCACTGAGCCACCCGGCCAGCCCCCAGCACTTAAACATTTTAACATCACATGTGCAAAAAAATTTTTTCAATTTTTCTAATGGAGCAATTTTATGCTTAATAATAAATAAACTATACTTCTCAAAAATTACAATCCATTATATATTTTTAAAAAGCAAAATGGAGAAAAGAGGGTCAGTATATGCTTGCCCTAGATTTTTCATTCTGGCCTACAAATAAAACTATGAAAAATAAATCCAGTTCTAGCCCTCACCCAGTCAGACCTCTCTTTGTTTTGAATGCTAGGCAAACAGGAGGCATAAGCTGGAGCTAGGACAGCGAGGTCAAGAGAACCAAAGCAAACATTGGAGCAACAGCAATGGGGACCCAGGAAGCAGACCAAGAAATCCCATCTCCTGGGTTTCTTTAAAATACCCAGTTTCCCAGATCTAAATAATGGGGATAGACAGAGTATGCATACTTCTTTTTGCTTTTTTTCCTTTCACCCTATAAGGGCCTGTATTTGTATTTTTAAACTTTTTATTTTAAAATAATAAAGATTCACAGGAAGTTGCAGATATACAGAGGTCCCATTTGTCTTTCACCCAGTTTCCCCCAGTGGTTATATCTCGTAACTACAGTACAATCTCAAAGCCGTGAAAATGACATTGGTACAGGGTGTGTATCATTCTGTCACTTCAACACAATAAAGATACACAACTATTCCATCACCATGAAGCTCTGCCCCGTTACCCCTCTGTAGTGAGACCTATTCTGCCCCCGATCCCCAAGGCCCAATCCCAAGCAATCATCAATTTGTTCTCCATCTCTATAATTTTGCCCTTTGAACAATGTTATATAAATCAAAAGCATACAATATATGACCTTTTGAGATTGGCATTTTTCATTCAGCATAATGCCCTTGATATCCACTCAAGTTGTGGCACATTTCACTAGTTAGTTCCTTTTTATTGCTCAGTATTATTCCATGGTACGACTGTACCACACTTTTAAGAATTTACCTATGGATGAATATTTTGGTTGTTTCCAATTTTTTGGCTACTGCAAATAGAGTTGCTATAAACATTTGAGAACAAGTTTTTATGTAGACGTACGTATTTGTTTTTCTGGAATAAACGTCCAAGAATGAAACTGCTGAGTTGTACGGAAAGTATATGTTCATATTTTTAAAACACAGCCAAACTGTTTTCCAGATGGCTATGCCATTTTCCTTTTCCCACCAGCATTGTATGAGTGACCCAGTTTGTCTGTATCTTTGCCAGCATTTGATACTGTTACTATTTTTTATTCTAGCTATTCTGATAGGTGTGTAGTAATAATGTCATTGTGCTCACAATTTGAATTTCTTACAGTGATGCTGAACATCTTTTCATGTGCTTTTTTGCTATCTTTTTTAGTGAAATGGCCCTTCATACTGTCCATTTTCTAATTGCATTGTTCTTTTACTATTTAGCATTCTTTATATATTCTAGATATGAGTCCTTTGTCAGATACCTGCTTCATAAGCATTTTCCAGTCTGTAGCTTGTCCTTTCATTCTCTTAAAAGGGCCTTCACAGAACAAAATTCTTTAATTTTGGAGAAGTTCAATTTATGACTTTTTTCTTTTCTGGAACACGCTTTTGATGTGCTCAAAGGACTATTCACCAAGCCCAAGATCCCAAAGATCTTCTCCTGTTATCTTTAATCTAGTTTTACATTTTATCTACAGTTTTACATTTTATACTTAAACTTATGATCCATTTTGAGTTAACTTTTCTAATTTTGAGGTTTTAGGTTGAGATTCATTTTTTTTGCCAACCGATATCCACTGAGTCCACCACAATTTGTTAAAGAGATTATCCTTCCTCCATTGAATTGTTTTGCAGCTTTGTCAAATATCAATTGGTCATACTTACATGCAGGTATTTCTGGTTTCTCTATTCTGTTCTACTGATCTATCTCTCTGCCAACACCACAGTCTTGATTATTGTCACTATATAATAAGTCATGAAATTATTCTTTTAGAGAATTGTTTTAGGTGTTCCTTTGCCTTTCTACATAAATTCTAGAAGAATCCTGTCTCTATCAACAAAAAATTTTGCAAGGATTTTGATAGAAATTGTGTTAAACTTATACACAACTTTGGGAAGAAGTGACATCTTTACTACACTGAATCATCCAATTCTTGAACACAGAATATCCTTCCATTTATTTAGATCTTCTTTGATTTCTTTCATCAGTATTTTGCAGTATTCAGCATACAAGTATTTATTTTGTTAGACTCACACCTAAGTATTTCTATTTTTGAGTGGATGTAAATAGCACTGTATCTCAAACTTCAGTTTCTATATGTTCACTCCTAGTAGAGAGAAATACAACTGATTTTTGTATGCCGATTTTGTATTCCGTGGGATTTCCTACATAGCAAATCCCATCTCCTGAATTTCTATAAAATACTAAAAGTTCTCCAGATCTAAAGGTATGGGAATCAACACTGTGAATACTCCTTTTTCAAAATATGTTTCTTATAAAAATAAATTTACTCTGACCCATCTTCCATTTGGATAAAATACATTGACTATTTTCTCTGTCTGCTACTGTAGAGAGACACAAAGATTAACTGGATCCAGCCTATGAACTTCTAGTCTAGTAAAGGAGATATGCAATTAAAACTGAAATTAAGAGCAATAATACAAAATAAATGATGGCACTGGCTACATAAGCTTAATTTAAAAATTAGGGCAAAAAAATTATATAAGCTTAAAGAAGATTGGCAGGATATAAAGCAAAATGTTATCAGCAGATATCTCAGTAATAAGCTTACTGCTGCTGCTTTTTTTCTTTTTGCTTATCTGTATTCTCTATGCTAAACATCTCTCTTAAAGAAAAAAAACAAAAGCTTTAGGAAGTTAAGTAATTTTTTTGTCAAAAGGATACGGAACTACATTGCAATTAGGAACTCTGTCATTTAGAAATTCTGCAGCAACTTCAGCCTTAGGTCTTCCAACATCTTTAGGCCTACAGGAAAAATTATATTTAAATTATCATTCATGATATAAATCTAGATGATCTACATAATTTACTTTAAAACATTAAAATATCCATGGTGAGTTTATTTAGAGGATGTTTGGAAGGAATATGTTTATTTAAGTAGTTTTGATGAATAGTCATTCAACACTAAATGTCAACCCTTGGCTGATGTTCAAAATTAAGTATTTACGAGTATTGACAAGTCTAATTAAGAATTTCCTAAGTGAAAATATCAACAGTGCTTTTTTGTTGTTGTTAGGTAAAGCATAATAACGGCATGTTTCCTGGCTATTTCTCACTGTGGCATTTCCCAAAGTAAAAAATTACCCCAGACCCAGAGCATCCCAAGTATCTGCCCTGAACCCCAGAACCTTAGGGTATTACTGTGCAGGTCTTGGCTGAAATAGACACAAGGTTCATTCTGGGGATGCAAGAACCTTCATTTTCCCCCTTCTTCCCATGTGTGCTGATTAAGTAGTAAATTTTGTGTCCCCTAAGAAGCTATAACACCATGTTGTTGAAGAAGGAATAATTCCAAAGGCATTATCTAAAATCGCAAATATTACCAATATTTTCAAGAAGCTAAAAATGCAAGGCCTCAAAAAGTCACTCGTGGAGAATAACCATAGCTGTAGGTAGGAAAGGACATGAATTCTCTCTTATAATCTCAGTACACATGGTATTTTCTTTCCCATTATTTCCTCATTCTCCTCACAGAAATAAATCACTCCCTAGTGTATACATAGTATGTGCTTCATTACTACCTTCTCACAACATATTTTTGGTTAGATACATAGGTCTATCATACGCACTAGACTATGAACACCTGGAAGAAAGTGACCGTATTCTTATCGGTTTGTATTCTTCCATATGTAAGCACAGAGTAAGCACTTCAAAATAAATGAAAATAAAAAATCAATGTGTTTAGCAGAAAATTTACTTTATTTAAAATTGGAATTTTAAAGAAAAATACTTTAACATGTGAATTTTCTTCTCTCCAATAAAGCAGCGTGCTTTTTTGATTCAAAACTGCTGCTAAGAGTTTTATTCTGACTTTGTCTTAAGTTTCAATAGAAAAGACTCTAGCATAAGTCAAGGAATTTGATTTCAGTATCACTTTCACCTACTCTGGACAGAAGTCTTTAGGTATGTAAAGGGAATGAAGCAGACTTTCAAGACTCTTTTAAAATGAGGATTATATGCTATCCCAGTAGATCCCAAATAAAAGAACTCCTAGATGGTTTCTGTGGGGACTGCTAATTTACCATTCCAGGATTAGGGGTCAGACTGTTCCTCCAAAAAACTGCACTTTGAATAAAATGGCCTTTCACACACATCATCTATGCAGGACACCTTGACCTAATTACTTAACCTTGAAAACAAGTACCTACCCTGAGGGTTGCTCTGAGATTAAATGAGATGATATAGATAAAGAGCCTAGAAATGCTTAATACATCTTAAGCATTCAACAAACTTAAATAATCACTATGATCTTCAATCATTATTTTAGCAGCAAATTAAAGGGCGTGGCCTATTATCAATAACCAAACAATTCAATGGTGTCTTTTTCAGAGCTTCCATACACTAAGATTGTCAGACTGGAAAGTGCCCACAAACTTTCCTATAGAGAAATTTCAAGGGTTAAAAAATAAACAAACAACTAAAGTTTAAAAGTTAAAGGCAGAGTTCACACTGCAATTACAACACTTCATTAACTTAATTTAGTTTAACCCATCCTTCAATCTCTTTAAGATCTTCCACAAGGATAAAATAGAGGTTTTACACCTATACAAAATTTAATTTGATCTTTTCTGCTAACCTAACCTTATGCTGCATACCTAGGATTATTTGAGCACTTTCTGTCAGTACTCTAATCACTAAGAGAGAGAGGAAAAAAAGTCCTTATTGCTCCACAGCTATAACTCTTTGACTAACAAACAGACACTTCTATCTAAGCCACTCAAACTTCTAAATGCTACATACTAAAATTCACTCATGAACCTCTCTTCTCATCTGCAATATATATGGCCTACTTCCAGTTTTTAAAGTCAGTTCCAACAAACCATTCCTAGATGCTTTCTGTATTTCATGTATGTTTAAGGTAATTATCCCTCTTTGTTCCATTTCAATTGCTCTTGGGTTTCCCTCCCCGCCTTAATTCTTAACTCTCCATTTTCCTTCCCTGTCTATAAAAAGTTCAAACTCTTTTACAACTTCGTTGCCTCAGAGTCACCATTCAAACCATGGCTCATAGGTCGCCACCAATGTATCTCACTAGGGCCTGATATTCCAGCTACTATTCTCTTATTACAGGAGGAAGAGAGCTGCACTCCACGTCTTCAGGGCACAATCACTCCAAAACCACATAAGCCTTTTGGAAATTTCTTTAAAAAACCAAAAGCATAATTGCTTACAAAACTACTTCCACCAGAATGCTCAAAATTTTACCTGAAATGGGAGTGGTAGTTATTTTTTTAATAAAATTAGTGTTATCCTCTCAGTAGTTTTTAAAAATTATTAAACTGCAATTTACTCAAATTCAAATGATTATCAGGATTTTAAACTAAGATATTAAAACTTACCTAAATAAAAACTGCCTATTTAGATTGGAAACATCTATAGTGTCCATGTCTATAACATGAATCTGTCTAAAACCAGACAATGCCTGTGGGAATAAAAAAAATCCAATTAAGAAGTTTCCTCACATTTGAAACTTTAAGATTTGTTCTCAATGTAGTCCTAAATCTACAAATTCTCAATAATAAATTCTGCATAATCATATTCAATCATTAGAGTCTTACAAGATATGTAAAATTCAAAGTTCTCGTAAAAGTAAAAAACATGTAACTACTCAGTTTTAAATAGTCTTTAACCAAAAGAGAACATTTCAGTATTTCTACAGTTGTTCTATAATGCCATAAACACATCTATAAATTTTGTTGCTTTGCTGTTGCTGCTAGATATTTTAATTTTACTAGTCTTACTAATTAACTATATTTGCTATTCTTTTTCAGAATATGTTAAAAGCAATTTCTACAAGTTTTATTTTAGTTTATATAACATTAAGTATGTCAAAATTCAGAAATAACTATTATAAGATACACTTATAAACATACATATGTAGACTGCACATGCAAAAGGGGAGTATCTTAAAAGTACTGAGTCAAGAACAGGCAATCAAAAAAGCCAGAGAAAAGCAACACACTGTTGTGTTTCCGTGATAATGCCATACATTCTAACAATACAACCACTACTCAAATTTACCAGCGGAACCAAAAGACTGAAAAAAATAAGCCTCAATAATTAATCATGCTTTTCTGGTCTTGGTCAGTTTACTTAAAAGTGATCAAATTAAATCACTTGCCAATAATTTCTCCATTTTTCTGCTCCTCTTTTCTAGCAAGAGACGCTAAAACGAGTTGTCCATACTTGCTTTCTCAAATTCCTCTCTTGCACCTACACTAAACAAGTTTTCGCTCTAAACAAACTCCACTGAAAACTGCACTTGTCAAGGTCACCAGTGACCTTCATGTTGCTACCTCCAGTGACCAATTCTCAGTCTCTCTGACCTCACCCAACTGAAGTATTTGGTAGGGTGTGGATCATTTCCTCCTTCTTAGAACACATTCTTCACTTCGTCTCCATACTCAGGACAATCTGAACACTTCTTTAAAATTGGTTTCCAGTTCACCACACTCAGGAGTTTCCCCTCCTACTTTACTGGCCAGAATATAGAGTGCCTCTGTGCTTAGTTCTGGTGACCTTACACAATCCTGTGAGATAAGGCATCATCTAACAGACATCTCAAACTTAACAGTTTCAGAAACCAAAGTCCATCATCCTCGCTCACCAACACCCCCAAATCTGTTCTTTTCTCAGTCTCCCTCATTTCAGTGAACACTAACTCCATCTTTCCAGTTGCTCAGGGCAAAAACCTTGCTGTGTCATCCTTGACTCCTTTCTTTTTCTAATGTCCCACAACCAATCCATTAGCAAATCCTGTTGACTCCATCTTCAAAACAGATCCAGAATCTGACCACCTCTCCCCACCTCCAATGCTACCACCCTGTTCCAAGTCACTGTCATCTCTTGCCCAGACAACTGCAACAACCTTCTAACTAGCTTCTCAGCTTCCTCCTCTGTTCCTCCTTTAGTCTCTTCTCAATACATCAGCTACCATGATGATCCAGGTTAAAAATCAGATCAAGTCAACTCATCTGCTTAAATCTCTCCAGCGACGTCCTGACTTGAAATAAAAGGCAAAGTTTTTACACTAGCCTCTAAAGCCTTTTGTAACATTCACTCCAAGCCCCTCCATCTCCCATTACCTCTCTGATATCCTCTCAGAAAACGTTTCCCCTTACCCACTTCTGCTTTAGCTATAATGATTTCCTTGCTGTCCTGGAACTGAACAGTCATGCTCCCACCTCAAAGCTTGTGCACCTGCTGTTCCGTCTGCCTAGAATGTTCTTGCTCACCTCTTTGTTCAAACAGCAACTTTCTGTAAACTCTTTCCCTTCCCACCAGGCTACCTATCTTCCATCCTTCCTTTCTCCATAGCATTTATTCCCATATGACATATGATGTATTTTACTTGTCCTTTTCCTTTCACTAAAATGTGAGCCCCACAAACACAAACACCTGTCTGTATTGTTCAATGCTGTATGTTTAGCATCTAAAATGGTGCCTGGCATATGGGGGAGGAGATTCAACAAATATTTGCTCAATGTAATTATATTATATCCATATAATTCAATAATATTAATGTCATATTCTTTTTTTTACAATGAGCCTTTGGGGGGCTTAAAACCAATTTAAAAAACATGTATATCTCTTATGTACTTATGTCTGAAATAACAAGTGGTAAAATTGAAAACTCTTAGCTTTTTTCTTTTGTCTAAGAGGTTATTATAATCCAATAAATAAATAACAAGGCCACTCCTAAAGTTGGTTGATGACTACTCCTCTGATCTAATCTCCAATTACTTTACATTTAAAATTAGTCTATATCACATTTGCCAATAACAGCTTCAAAATGGAAAAAGTTAAGCATTAGGGAATTTGCGCATACAATGCCTACCCAAACCACTAACCATCCTCCATGAATCCTTCCCTTCTAGAACTCTTTGGTTTTCACAGTGCAAGAGTATTTATGTTTAATAAGGTATTGTCATTTTGATAACCCATCAAAGAGTATAGAGTATACCATACATACTGCTACTTATTTTGTGTGAGACTTGTCTTCCCAATGAAACTTCAAATACACTAAGGACAAGGACCATACCCTATAATCCCCAAAGAAGTGCCACCCACTAAACAGCATGAAGCATATTCAACTTTTGCAGTTTCACTAGGGGTGACATTAGTGTTTACTAGCAAAATTAATGTGTCTGTTTATATTTAAACTTTAGTCCCATGGCTGACTTTTTAGGTCCTTTATCTGACTCTCTTACCTGCCTCATTTTCTAAGGAGTCTACTTTAGCATTTCCACACACCAGTGAGAAGGCTGGCATACAAATCAATTCTTCTCCTATCCATTTTTGTTAAATAAACTGATACAGACTTATAGAAACTACTTGGTTATCAGAAGTCAATTAAACTAACTAAGTCACAAATTATGTGTTTCCAACCAGTATATGGAAACAGCTTCACTAAATAACACCCTCACTTAAGATGATATTCATTAAAAACAAATGGACGAATAAAAAGAAGAAAAAGGTTTAGCTCTCCCCAATTTTATGGGTCTACTACCATATGGTCATCAAAAATTACTGTCTGATTAGGTCATATAATGACCTAATGGTTCAGTGAAAAGAAACTTGATTAAGAATTGGTGACCTGGATTAGATTCCAGGCACATCACTATAACCCAGAAAAACTTGGGCAAGTCATTTAACATCTCTGAACCTCAGTGCTTCCCCTTACATAAAATGAGACGATGTCCTAGCCACCTAACTGGGTTATTTTGAGGAACAAAAGAAACAACAAATTATTTGAAATTACAAGTTAAAATATGTGTTGCCAGTTTTGTTATTTACTTCACTGAAATTAATGGGCATTCTGTAAGAGGAGGTACAAAGATCTGTTTGATAAAGAGCAGAGAAGAAAGCAGGAGTAAAAATTTCTATGAATGACTTTATAGTTAAGGACTTTAAGTTTAAAAAGTTTCAAAGTTACATCATCATTTTAAACCCCTTCTGGAATTTGACCCGCTAAACTTATCTAACAAAGGCTCAGGAGAAAAGGTTAACAATCATAACAAACAAATTTCCTGGTATGACAGAAAAGGAAAAAGGTTAATTATCACAAAGAAGAAAAAAATACATATTTTGTATATATATTACCAGATTTTTCAGGAGCTCACATCCTAAGCCGCCAGCTCCAATGACTAGAACTTTACATGTGTCTAACAAAAATTGGAGAGACTGTAAAGAATGAAAGGCATATTAAAATCTGGATGATAAAAACCAGTAAGTACCATCAATAAAGCAACAAATCATAAAATAGTTTCTGATGTTTCCACGAAAAATGCAATCAAGGATAAAGAGTTGACTTTATAATTAATAAATTATTTTAAATTTATGAACAAGGTAGAACCAGAAATTCTATAACCCTAGTGATTTCAGAGTTTCAATTTTAATGTTCTTAAATTGACTTTTATTAAACGGCTATTTCTAACAAGAAAACTATGCCTACTTAAGCGTTATCTTTTGTTTTTTTAACTTTGAAAGGGGATGGAAAGCATCAAATTCAGTTATTTAACTGACTTCCTAAAAATAAAAAAGTGTAAAAATCTTAAGAGAGGATCGAGCAGTGCACAAGGTGTTTAATGGTCTTAAAAAAGAAACTAAGAATAATAGTTGCTTTTGAATACAGTGAGTGAAACTTACACAACATGAGATGATAGGAAGAATAGATAAAACTCTTAGAAAATTGCATATCAGCAGAAATACAATTTGAAACAATCATTTAACAGAAGTATCTTAAATTATCAGGGGAAAAAAATTCAGAATCACAAGAAAATATGCTGGATTATCCACAGAAAAGCACAATACTGTCAATTCTGTCCAAGATTAAAGGAGAGAAAAGTTATTTAGATGAGAAACACTGGGTCAAACCCAAGAATTTGCATCTTAATTTTAGGAATAGCACAATATTTCTATTTCAAAACAATCTCTCTGTATAAACACAAAAGGACATAAAAATTTATTATAAAGAATCCTTTTTCTACCTTGTAATAAAAAACAAGTTGTATCTAATTGCACACTTACTTTAGGTCAGACATTACCAGTCTAAAATTCTATTCCTCTAATATACCGTAGTCACATAATTTTTAACATGCAATTAAGTATATTCAATTCCAAGTAAAGATGCTCATTTCAACTAAATTTTAAAATTTAAACAAGCACATCTATATTCCTATCAAAATTAATTTCTCATATCAGGGCTAAAACGGGGAGGGTGTCTCAGAAATTATTTTAAACTGAAATTTTAAGTGAAGTATAACATAATTTTAAATGAGGTTATCAAGTTATTTTACTCTTGAGAAATTTCAACATATTACATGAGAAATGTGAAAAATAATGACTCAAATATTAGTCATTCAAATAAAATCAGCTGCAAATATTCAATGTAGTATTTCAATATAACTTATACAAATGTATTAGTATTTTATTATAAGAGCAAATTAAAAAGGAAGCATTTTATTATTTTTGAAACATAAAACTACTAGAGGAGTTATTTAAAAATAAATGTTTCTCACTTCAGTGCTCGGTTCGAAATCAGGGTGTGTGAAGGGTCCAGATCGCTCGAGGAACTTCTTTACATGGTTCCAGCGACCTTCCCAGTCTCCAGTGTCCCCACACCCACCATCAACAGCCATTCTGCACAGAACACAGTAAATTCAGCTGCAAAGATCAGTATGAAAAAGCCACACCTACAACTATTATGGTTTCCCCAAATGAAAAGGTAACCACACCAGACCTGATCAAATAAAAAGGGAGTTATTCAATGCGGTTATGCTCATGCTTTTAATTTTTTTCCTTAGCTATCATATAGTTTATTTAAAGTTAAGAATTGCACTTGTTCGATGAAATAAATCAGTTCACCTGTTTTTGGGTTCCTAAAGCAACCCAAGATCAAACTTGGGATATTGGTTAATGGGTAAGAAAGGGGCTTTTCTACATTCGGAATTTACCAAAGATCACTGTAAACTTGTCCAATCTGTTCCTTCAATACACTTGGGCCAGGAAATGTCAGTTCCAAGAAAAAAAAAGGAAACCCTCCACGTTCAGAATTGTGATGCTTCACATCTAATACAACGCACATGTCCTTTCCAAGTTTGAAAGGTGTGAGTTAAAGATCATTTTTGATGAGAGGAACTCTCACACATTTTTCTCTGGAAAGAGAGGTCCCAATTTTCAAGAGAATCTCTTAATACTATGAGGTGGTTTGGCTTGCCACTAAACACAAAATAAGTTTCAGGTTACAACTTTGCCAAAAAAGGCATTGCCATCTAGAAATCTTTTAGCACATAGAAGAGGGACTCCTCTAACAAAATACATGTATTTTCTACTCCATGCAAGATTCATGTTTGGTTGTGATTATTTTTAATTTTCAAATTTCCTATAACCCCACAATTTCTACCTTCAAATATATCAGTAATATCCAATTTTGACAAAAAGAGATCAAGAAGTATTGCCTAGCAATGAAGACCATAGGTTTTGATGCACAACTGGGTTTGGATCCACAGTTAATAGCACTGTGACCTTGAGCAGATTACTTAACGGCCATAAACCCCATCTGTACGTTGTCTGTAGCTATTTCTTAAGGTCAGAATGAGGATAAGGAGATAATCCACGCAGAGGCCTTAGTGCAATACCTGGCATATAGTAAGCATTTGAACTTCAACTGTCACTTTAAGCAGAAGCGGAAATGAAAGATAGAGAGGAACGTGAAATTAAGCCTGTCATTCTAGTTCTCTTGAAACTGAAATTTAACTTTTTGAGGGACATACCTAAAGGCTTTAAAGCTCGGCTACCAAGAATTGGCACAGAAATTACTACCTCACCACACCCACTGCAAGAGTACTTTCTTCCCCTCCCATTTAGGGAGGAGGAAAAAGGATGTGGTGCCGGCCAGCTTGGAAAACACTGTTTAAATCTGTCTCACCAGCACAAAATAAGCATCTGATAAGAAATAGTGTGTGTAATAAATGGGGAAAATAAGCTCTTTGGGGTTAACCCTCTGCTTTGAGCCAATTATTCTGCAAAAATGATTGCAGTGCTTAGGGCAATACCTGATGCAGAAAGTTCTCATAAAAAGTTTGCAATTAATTACTACTGTCTCAGCTTTTACGAAGGGCCAAAAGCGGCCTATTGTCCGTTTCACGTGTTTGAGCAAGATTCCCTTTCCACAAGGTCACGGCTCTGACAATTTGGGATGGAGGAAGAGGGGATGCAAGGGTCCTTCCGCGAGACCTTTCGGTCAAGCACTCCGGCGGGCCCTGCGGGACCTGCTGCGGTGCACCCGAGCCCGGCGCCCGCCCGAGACAGAGCCCGGGAGCGGCCCGCCGGGGCCCTGGGCTGCGGGACGGGGGTCAGGGGATGAGGCGGCGCGGCCTGCGCTCCGGGTGCCCCCCTCCCAGCCCCCCGGGCCCGCTGCGGCTGGTCCCCCAGGCCTGGGGTGGGGGGAGGCGGGGGTCCCCGGAGAGGGCCCCGGCCTCCCAGCAGCACTAACTTCTCAGCCAGCAGCTCCTCTATTCTCCTTCTTTTCTTCTCCCTAAAAGAAAGAGAGAATAAAAGAAGGGTCAACATCACGCTACACATTGGGCGCCGCGAGGGGATGGGGGGCGAGGGGACGGGGCGGGGGGTGGGGGGACCCCCGGCTGGCGGCGGCGACCGCCCACCGCCGCGCTCTCTCACAACCCAGCCCAGCCGGGCGCGCTTGCAGAGCCCGAGTACTTACGGCTCCTCGCCATCCGCCATATTGTTCTCCGCCTCTTCCCAGGTGTCCCCGCGGCGGGCCGGGCGGAGGGGGGCGGGACCGGCGGGCTGGGCGGGGAGGAGGGGGCGGGGTCTGCGGGGAGGAGGGGTTAGGGCCGGGCGGGGCGGAGAGGATAGGCTAGGGCCGGCAAGGCGGGGCGGCGGGCTCCGATGGGAGGAAGCCGGGCCAGCAGGAGGGCGGGCGAGGGCGGAGGCCGGCGAGGAGGGGCGGGGCCTGCGGGGAGGAGGGATTGGGGCCGGGCGGGGCGGAGAGGATAGGCTAGGGCCAGCAGGAGGGCGGGCGAGGGCGGGGGCCGGGGGGGGGGGGGGGGGCGGGGGGGGGGGGCCGGGGCCCGCGGGGAGGGGCGGGGCCGCCGGGGCCGCCGGGGCTGGCTGCTCTGAGGCTGTCATGGGCCTGACGTCTTTGCGTGTGTATTAATTACAATCTTGATTAACTACATTTAATTAAGTTTTATCCAGTGTATAATATTGTTATACTGCGTGAAAATATAGACGTAATACATTATATGTTTATACAATTTATATTTAATAATTATATAAAATCCTATATTCTATTAAAAAACTCCTTGGAACAGCTACCCTAACATTCCAGAGCTTCCCTCTGAGGCAAAGCATCGGGGGAATTTTCACTTTCAACTTTTCAGTATGGTTCCAACATCTTTGCATAAAGGTATGCACTTTAAGAATAAAATTTATCTAAGTCAGTTTATGGGGGTGGGATGGAGAAATTTTCTTTCTTTGTGATTATCAATATTAATATTTGTGTCATCACATCATTCTGTCAGTTAAGAAATTAAGCGGAAATGGAACTAAATTGAAAAAACATTTTTTCTGGGAAAAAGTGTATATTTAGATAAATAGAAGAAAAGTATAAAGAAAAAAAGCACAAAAATTAAAGTTAGAAACTCATAATCTCATCACCTAAAGATAAATGGTGATAAAATTTTGGACTATTTTCTCCTAGAATCAGAAATAGGGAGATAGATAGATACATAGATGTGTGTGTGTGTGTGTGTCTGGATGGCTGGATACAGAAAAATAATCATGTTCAAAATATATAGAGAGAGATATTTCCTTCTTAGAGTGGTACAAGAATGATATTTAGAGTCAGAAAAAAAGTTTCAGTTCTTAACTCTCCACTTATTAACTATGAGACCTTGGGCACTTCTATGTCTTCATTTGTAAACTGAGGATAGTAATATTCACCTTGTAAAATTGTTTGAGAGTTAAATGAAATCCACAGTGATTCTCAAAATATAGTCCCTGATCACCTAGTTTAGCCTCATTTGGGAACTTTGTTACAAAGGCAAATTTTCAGGCCCCACCCTCAATCTTCTGCAAAGCCCTGTATGATTCTGTGCAAAATAAAGCTTAAGAACCACTGAAACGGGGTACATAAAGCCTGATGAGTACTCACTAAATGTAGCTGCTGTTAATAAATTATGATATTTAATATCCTCTTTGTCCTTTATTATCCCCTAGTCGGGTTCAATTCAATGGCATTCATTGAGCTGAAAATCAGTGCCAGGCAGTAAGTGGGGGATCACAGTCCACTGTCCAGAGTAGGAGATACACCAGCCTCATTCACAGGTCACATGTCTCAACATCAACCCAGAACCACTTTTTCTTGCCCCAACTGCTCCACAGATGGAAACCCCTGCGGTTAAACCCTAGCTTTTCAAAACAGGCTCCTGTGGGCCCCCAGCAGTGCTACTTTCAGGAGACTTTTTGATTATTGTCAGCAAGCACCTCAGCCCCCTCAGATGGTAAAAATCAACAGGCAACTTGGAGATCACCTAGTCCAAACCTACCCATTTTACAGGGAGGAAACTGAGGCACAGGGGTGGGATGCGGCTGGCCCATGAAGAGGTCTGCAATGGCATCTGGCCCTTCATCTGCGTGCCTTGGCACTAACAACCTGACTCACTGTAGTGGTATTTTGATAGATGACACCAGGCTCTCCCACTGGCTCAGACTGACCCATTAGAAATAGCCACCTGCCCTTGCCAGTAATGAAAGTAACAGAGACGTGCAAGGGAAACCTGCAACAGGTTTATTTCATTTCAAATGGAACATATCATAAACTATTAGACTATCCACCATGGTTTATGTACAGACGGATAAATATTCAGGGTAGTCCTATCTAGAAGCACAAATCTGGATATAAGAGCCTCAGGAAGGCCTCTACATTGAGTTGTCGCTGCCCCGCCCTTCCTCCCCCCCCCATGAAAAGTGACAAAGAGCTGCTATTAATAGCATTTCAAACGGTGACTGAAATAAAGTAAGGATTCCATATGTGTTCATTTTTATTTAAAATGATTTTTCGACAAAAGTAGAAATGTGTAGTGAAAAAAAAGTCTCCTGTAATACAACTGGAGAGAGAAGCACGCCTAATATTTTGGGAGAGAAGAAGAAGGGGATCATGCTAAATAACAGCTCTGTCTGGCTTTTTCATTTATTTGTTTAAACCTCTTTGGAGGTTTAAACAAATAAATAAAAATACACTGAACAAATGTTTACTGGATATCAATTGCCTATGACCAACGAGGAATCATATTATTACTAACACGCACTTGACAACTTACGATCATGCAGTACTGAGCAAATGGAAGGTAAAAGTTCTTGGTCACAGCTCCTAATGCTCGTTGATCTCTCCAACAGGTGTGGGGTCCTACTGGGGCTCCTCCGCTGGTCTTGACCGAGATGATTTACTCAGCTTGCCCAGGGTGCTGCTTCTTGAAATTCTTAAGCCCCAGGGAATTCTTCTACACCCTCTGACTTCCTGTAACTCAGCACCAAGGCCTGGCACGTCCTCTATCTAGCTCTCCTCTTGCTGTCTTGTATTTAAGTTAGTATTTCCACTGCATCTCAAGATCCTTGAAGGCAGAGCAAGGCTGCATTCTTCTCACCTTTTTTTGTCTCCCACAATGCTTTCATAGAGCCTTGAAAAGATTCAAAATATCTGTTAGCATCATTCTGAAACTTTTCAACCTTTTTTCCCCTAGCAAGTCTATCCAGATACAACCACAAAAATAAAATTGCAACAAGATAGAGAAAAATCAGTGCATGTTCATTATAAAAGCATAAAAAACAAATCAGGTTAAAGCACTATTAATACCATACAGATGAATCATGGCCCGTACTATTATTAATAACAATAACAATAATATCTAACTGTGAGCAATTACTATACACTAAGCACTTCCCATCCACTTTTTTGTCTTCACCTGTGTGGCAAATGTTCTTATTACACCCACTTTACACGTGAAAAAACTGAGACTAGAGGAGATTAAGTAATTTCTCCAAAGTTCCCTGCATTTTTAATGAAGGAGCTAGGACTTTAATTTTGCTCTCTCTGACTTTAAACCTTCCCATTTTTCTGGAATCAAGAAAATGTGAGAGGTTAGGAACATTTTCACATTTTAAACCTTATTCAAAAAGCATCATCTAGGCTGTGTCTTAGCACCGATTCAATTCAGTCACCCAACTTTCCTGAACACCAGTGGCAGGAGTAATTCCTTAGAGTCATTGTAAGTTCCTGAACTGCCTTCTGAATCATCAGGAAAGTCAAATTATGTCTTCTAGACTTTGCATTAGGTATATTTTTTTATTTTTAGGTATGCTTTTTTTCTTGGTGAGGAAGATTGGCTCTGAGCTAACATCTGTTGCCAATCCTCCTCTTTTTTTCTTTTTTTCTCCCCAAAGCCCTGGGACGTAGTTGTATATCCCAGTTGTGGGTCCTTCCACTTCTTCTATGTGGGAAGCCACCTCAGCATGGCTTAACAAGCAGTGCTAAGTCCCTGCCCGGGATCCAAACCAGTGAACCCTGGGCCACCAAAGCAGAGCCCACAAACTTAACCACTATGCCACTGGGTCGGCCCGAGTATTAGGAATGTTTTATTGCTTTCCAATTTTTTGAAAATTGGTATGAGGAGAGTAAATTCAGTTTTTTAAAAACAGCACCACTTGCAGATTTAGAGACTGTTGTCTTAGACACTAGCATTGTGGAATTCTGCCTACCACACTATGCAGTGAGTCAAAATACTTTTTTCTCTTGCATTTGAGATACAGGGAGGTTTACTGTACCAACCAGCCCCTTAACTGAAAAAAAGATGATCCTTTTGGAACCCTTAGAAGAGAATTTACAACTAATACATCTCTTGACAGTTCTTTGGGCTGAGATACAAAACTATCACATTACCTATTAACATACTGTGCTCCCTTAGTGAAAGTTGTCCCCAAATATTAGGATAAAACTGAGAAAGCCCTTTTGGAGTAGAATCCGTGTTTCTGCCCAGAAAATACGGGGTGCAGAACAATTAGTTCCCTGCAGACCATTGTTTCCTTTCGAATGTAAACATCCCAGCCCAGGGCTAAAGTAACGAGAGTGCCCACTTTATCAGAATGGCACAGTAGTTCAATAATTTTACCCTGGGGAGAATAGAGATGGAGAACAGGAAGAGAAGTGAAAGAATAAATCAGCCCTTCCGTTCTACCCGTCCTGCTTTCCTATTTTGCCAATCTGATTTCACTCATAGTGACTCATGGTGAAGCAGAGAAAACAGGAGAATTGCATTCAGATGTGCAGGGGTTAGTAACTACTTAGTTTTCAAAACCAGCTCATCCTCCAGTAACACTATAGTTGCCTTCCATTCCATTTCACTTAGACTGGCATCTGAACAGCTGCAAAAAATCTCCCTGAAGTCCAGAACACATTCCTAGGTTAAACCCTCAAAAGGGGTATTTTAAAGGAGGCTGTTTGTATTCGGACTGCCAGGGAAGACATTGCCACCTCGCTTCAGACAGGGGATTTCCGCTGGTTTCTTTTTGTCATTTCATCTCCGTTTTGCACTCTGCCCCTTGCTCTGTCGCGGGGCCCCAGTTTTCCTGTAATCAACCACTTAGAGCCAATCAAGAAGTAAAGAAGAGAAAAACGCCCGCCCGCTCCCAATTTCCTTTGCTCCGCTGCCCGCCAACCGCAGAGCGGACAGAGCCGGAGCTGCTGTCATCTCTAACCTAGCTCAGCTGATCGGTTGCCGCCGCCGCCGCCGCCAGATTCCAGAGGCAAAGAACAAGAAGCTGAGAGACGAGACATGGACGTGAGTATCGCCCCTCTCCGCGCCTGGGACGACTTCTTCCCGGGTTCTGACCGCTTCGCCCGGCCGGACTTCAGGGACATTTCCAAATGGAACAACCGCGTGGTGAGCAACCTGCTCTATTATCAGACCAACTACCTGGTGGTGGCTGCCATGATGATTTCCGTCGTGGGGTAAGTGGGGTCCCTCTCTGGGGCACTGATCGGGGGTAACACGGAGGGAGCTCTGTGTGCAAGATTTCGGGATGCGGAAACGCTCTCCACGCCTGGCGCCTGCCCTGGCAACCACAAGCGGTCTAACCAGTGGAAACTTGTTCTCAGGGCGAGGCCAGCAATCTAGGGGTCCCCTTTGCCTTTCCGCTCCCCGCGCTGAGACGTGAGGGGATCCCTAGGGATGAGGAAATTTTGCCAACCTCGGGCAAGAAAAATGACATTTTTTTCTGTGCTCGGATTAGGCTGTTGCTGGGGGAGATAGTTACAGCGCTCCAGTTTTTTTTAAAAAAAATAAGAACGAGGAAAGTAGTGTAACCTTATCCCGGGGCTGGCTGGGGCGGGCGCCGCCCTGGGAGGCTTGGGGCGGCTGGGTGTGGATCCGGACTCTGCCCTTTGGGGGTGTTAGTGTAAAAAGGGCATCTAAGAGGCGACGCGCTTTGTCGGTTTTTCCACCTAGTACCTGCCGCACTGTACAGAAAAGCTGAGCTTGGGAGCAAGAGGGTGGGTGTTCCCAGGTGGCGCATCTCCCAGTGTGAGGTGAAGGTTGTCTTGACTCTAGGGACGGGGTCCTCTTGCTCTTTCTTCCAGGAGTTGCCAGGCGTGATCGCTTCACTTCCTAGCCTGTGGTCTCAGTGTGTTAAAGGCCTTTTCGATACCTCATCCTAAAATAAGAAGTGTCCTGTGTTATATACGATTTTCCATACGTGCACCTGCTCTGCTGGCAACCACCTTTTCTTGTAGTTCACCCTTTAGGAAATGCTTCTCTCACGTTTGCAAGATGGGGTGGTGATATTCTAGACCCTGCTGAACCTGTGCATCTGTAAAGAAAAAGCCACCCTCCGATTTTATAAAGGAACTCACTTGCCATTAAGAAGTGTCTGACATTTCTATTTCAGAACAAATACAGAGGGAAAGAGCAAGCTGGCCTGGGAAAAGGGGGAGAAATCCAAACTTGGAGGGTGTGGGAAAGGGCAGAGGGTGGTTTCTTAAGTCGGTTTGCCATTCTTTGGCTTATTTATTGAGTCGCTTCTCTGTGCCAAGCTCAGAGCACACCGAGATCAATCAGACATGAACTCTGGCCCAAGGACACTTGGCCGTTGTTGAGGAGCTATACGACCAAATACACAGCACAGAGGAGAGTTCACAGTTTCTCAGTGTGGTTCAGAGTAGTCACCCCCATGCAGAAGTGGACGCTCGTTTGTGTAATTCAGTAGACAATCCTACAGATCCTCATTGTGTGTTGCTTAAGGAATTACAAACCCTGAGAATGGCTTGGTGTGCGGAGGGCATGGGCTCCGAGCCGACTCTGAATTAGAGCGGCAGCCAAGTTAAAATTAGTTGGGGTAGGACAGGCCTGGGGCCTGAGGCGGCTGCTTCCCAATACCTTCATGCTTGAGGCTCATTTCCCAGAATGCTAAAAAATTTCTTTAAAACAAAATAAGTAGTAAACAGGATTGCATCTGTTGTTTTGCTTTCTTTTTCTTCCCTCTCTGTAAAGAAGCCAGCAAGGCATCTCCTCTGGTGATCTAGTTATTGGAGTTTTATTTTTTTTGAGAGAACTACGAAATCTTAGATGTGAGGCAAGGTTTGACACATACCAATCAAATGTACAGAAAAAGCCCTTGCTTTTCAAAGAGGTGCACCCCTCCCCAGACCACACACCAGCTCGGGCAGGCTTGCCCGCCTTGATAGAATCCATTTTTCACTGTGAAGGTCAGGGGCCAGCCCCTTGACTAAATATAGCTCTTTCATTATGGTGTCTTAGCCCACTAACTCAGGTGGTTTGGGGATGTTGGCTTTTCCCATTCCCATTTTCAAAAAAGAGATGTTGGTGTGGCAGTGAAATTTTTGAAGGTAAAAGTGAAAAATAGCCATGTTTATTTTTTCTTATTCTTATATTTAAAAACTTACAGAAGATACAGGCCAGTAGTAAGTTGTTTTGAAAATTGTGTAGTAAAATGTGAGATTTCCTTTGTGCCCTGGTAAAAATTTGGTTTATGACCTTCAACTCTTTTCTGTGCATCTACAAACACACACAGTCTGTAGTTTTTCCACAAATTGCTCTTTTCTTTCTTTATAATCTAATAATAATAATAAAAGGAAACATTTATTGAGTGCTTTGGGTGCCAGGTACTTGCTAAGTAATTTACCTGCATTACCTCATACAACCCAATGAGATGAGACATTATTATTTTTATTATTGTTGTTATTATTAAACCTGAGGCTCAGAGAGGTTAAATGACTTGCTCAAAGTCACAGACCCAGGCTTGTGCTCTTGACTTCTATGCATCTTTCTATGAGTCATGGGGTTTAGAATTATAGTCTCTTAAAGGTGGAAGAAACTAAATATCTTCAGGGCCAGGGAGCTTAGTTGATTCTGGAAAATTTCTCATTCTACAGAGAACTCTCTTTTGGTGATGTCGGTAGATGGCTGAGTCAGAGCAGTGCTGGTCTCTGTTTATCTGGATTCTCTAAAGGCATCTGATAGTTTCTCCTGCTATCTTGGTGAAGTGTGTGTGAAAATGTGGCCTGGGTGTTAACTGGGAAAGGACTGTGTTCCAAGGGAGTTCTTCAATGGTTCAGTCCCCTGCTGGTGGGGAGGGGCCTCCAGGGCATTGTTGGAGGGCTCTAGCCTCAACTCAATGCTCTGGTGTTGAAAACGGGCTTGGGGAAGGATAGAGAGCCTGCTCTTCAAGATTGCAGCAAGGGAGAGGAAAGACCAAACCGATATAATCCAGCTCCAAAAAGACCAGAACGGGCTGCCTGTACCACGATGGAGATTAAGAGGGATTAGGATAGAGATAAATCTGTGTATGAGGGCCTGATTGGGCAGCGCCTGGTAATTCACTTTTTTCATTCTTTTTAAAAAGCATCATTTACCAGGCGCATGATTTCCACCCAGTAGGTCTACTATGCCTCTTAGATTAACTCTGAGTAATTCTCTTAATAGCCCTTGCGGAAGACAGTTGCCATATCTCCTGACTGTTCAAGCAGTGGTTAAGAGTTTACCACCATCAAAACCAGATTAAGTAAATTTTGAATCCCAGCTACAGTCACTAGCTATGTGACCTTGGGCAAGTCACTTGAACCACCCCACGCCTCAGCTTCCTCATCTGTAAAATGAGACTAATTTTTTTTTTTTTGAGGAAGACTAGCCCTGAGCTAACTACTGCCAGTCCTCCTCTTTTTTGCTGGGGAAGCCTGGCCCTGAGCTAACATCCGTGCCCATCTTCCTCTACTTTATGTGTGAGATGCCTGCCAAAGCATGGCGTGCCAAGCGGTGCCATGTCCGCACCTGGGATCCGAACCGGCAAACCCCGGGATGCTGAGAAGCGGAACATGTGAACTTAACCGCTGTGCCACTGGGCTGGCCCCTCAAAAATGAGACTAATTATAGTACCTGCCTTATAGGGCCTCTGTGAGAATTATCTGAGTTAATAGAGACAAGTCTCTTAGAACAGTGTCCAGCTCCTAGGTTTTGCTCCACAAATCTTACTTATTATTTTTATCATTGTTGGTATATCATAGAGATTACTGAGAAACATATACAGCATCTTTATCCGTCCACCCAAACTGCAGTCCCCAACTTACTCATCTACTCCTACTTCTCCTACAAGACTCAGCTTTGGTACCACCTCTTTGAGGAAACTTCTCCCTTTGCCCCTTACTCCCTTGTGTTGATACACCTGTGCCTGTAACTTTCTTAAACTTACTCCATGGGCTTTTAAATTGTCTGTTCACTCGTCTCCACTCTGCACTGTGGACTCCTTGAGGCCAGAGACTGTGGGTTTTGTTTGTGATTATTTTTTCTTCTTCTTGTTGTGGTTATCATTATTTTTATTCTCTGTATCCCTCAGCCCTACTGTATAGCAGGAGCCTAGTTCGTGAGTGCAAGGAGTAAATAAATGAACCTCAACATGATGACGGGGCAACAAACCTACTTAAAGGAACAAATTATTTTGAAGCACATAGTGTTATGCCAGCACATAACAACAACATGCTGCTAAATTGATTCCTACTGGGTCATTGCTGATGGCACTTGCTACATGTTGGTTAGAATTACTATAGTGTGAAAATTCAATTTAAAAAAGTTGAGGGGTCTGCCCTGTGGCCGAGTGGCTAAGTTCACGCGCTCCGCTTCCCCGGCCCGGGGTTTCACCAGTTTGGATCCGGGGCGCAGACATGGCACGGCTCATCAAGCCATGCTGAGGTGGCGTCCCACAAAGCACAACTGGAGGCACTCACAACTAGAATATACAACTATGTACTGGGAGGGCTTTGGGGAGAGGAAGAAGAAGAAAAAAATAAATTAAATTAAAAAGTTTATAATTCAGACTCTTCGCTGATTCATATTGTCCTTGTAGAATTTTGTTGAAATTCTCTCCTGCAAGGTTTCTTATATAAGGTTAGCGCTATTATTTTGGATTGCATAATTCTTTGTTGTAGGGGGGCTGTCCTGTGTATGCAGGATGTTTAGCACCATCTCTGCTCTCCACTCACTGAATGCCAGTAGCACCCTCCCCTTTAGTTGTGACAAGCAAAATGTCTCTAGACATTCCCAAATGTCCCCTGGGGGTCAAAATTACCCCTGATTGAGAACTACTGCTCTACTACCAAGAAAATCATGATGACTCCTCATGTCATCTTCAGTAAATGCAAGTTGCTTTATAACAAGATACTTAAACAGAGTTCTTGCAATTACATAGCAAAGCAATTTGACTTTAGCTCCTGGCTCCTAACTTTTTAAACATAAGAATGGAGTAGAGGGGCTGGCCCAGTGGTGCAGCAGTTAAGTTCACACGTTCTGCTTTAGCAGCCCAGGGTTTGCCAGTTTGGATCCTAGGTGTGGACCTATGCACTGCTTGTCAAGCCATGCTGTGGCAGGTGTCCCACATAAAATAGAGGAAGATGGGCATAGATGTTATTCAGGGCCAGTCTTCCTCAGCAAAAAGAGGAGAATTGGCAGCAGATGTTAGCTCAGGGCTAATCCTCCTCCTCAAAAAAAAGAGAATGGAGTGGATT